AGTCGACAAACCAGTCTGTTGATTAGTCCTCAAAGGCTGCCTGTCTTTCCTCTGCTCCTTCACCTGTGAAGCAGTCAGAGGAGGTTGCTTCACTCTGCTCTTGCTTGTGGTGTCCACCTGGATGAAGTCATGGACGGGCCCACAGTACAGTCTTCTGATGCTCCAGAAGGGCAATCGTTTTCCGTGCTTCTTCCTTCTCCAAACCCGATGTCCAATCAGTGACCAAGTCCTGTTGACTCTCTTTCTTAAACACCTCTTGAATTCATTGACTTATGTCCGTCCTCACTGCCATCTCCCTAGGTCAGCCACCATCCCACTTGCCTAAGACAGACTGGCATGTCTGCCACCAGTGTCACAGTTCTCTATTCATTCTCCGTAGGACAGCCAGTAAAATGTAAATAACATAATGCTTGCTGGGTTCTCAGTGTGCCTCTCCATCCCCTGCCATCGCCATTACAATAAAGTCCAGACTCCTTTGTGTGGCTGACTTGGCATTTACTTTTCCTCTACCTAGAACATTCTCCCCTCTCTACCTAGTTCCTATTCATTGTTTATTTCTTCCAAGATGTCACTTACCCCCAGGACTCTTGCCTGAGGCCCCAAGCCTTGTTGAGTGTGTTGCTTACAGGTTCCCACAGTTCCCTGTACTTTACCCTTCAGAGCACTTACTATATTACATGGTAATAAGGTCTATATTCTCTCGTTAGACTGTAAGTTTATTTCCATATATAATACCATGTCTAGCACATATGTTAATAATTAACATTTGTCATGGGTCCTTGCAATTTAAAAAGCATTTTCATATACAGTATCTTATTAGCTCTCCCAACAGCACTGCTCAGTAGATGTTATTACAAACAGACAGAAGCATCAATAGATTGACATTTTCCCAAACAAACAGAGTAATGAGATCTGGGGCTAGATTTGGAACAACAGTGACCAAGATGGATTATGCTAAAATCTAGAAAAAAGGGAAAGAGGTCACTCTGTTGCATGTACTGTGTAAAGTATTGGCATATTTGCAAAAGTCCTATAATTTCTATGTCATTGTGAAAGCACATGAAAGCTGTTTAGCTTATTTTATTCAAGTTTCCTTTGAATTAAGAATGCAGAGTGTTATATTCCAGAATGATTATTTTTCTCATTTTAAAAACATTCTTTATGATAAAAGACCAACATTTTATAAAAAGTGATTTGATTTTTTGCTTATTTTTATTTATGTAGCTTAAATTTGAAGTACAATTTGTGATTTATTCAAAGCTAATATTTATAATCCCAGGGTATTTTCTCCTTAACAGAAATATAATCAGCTTCCATCCTACACGTCTCAGTTGCATGCACCAAAAGAATGCACCCTAATATTAATCCTACTAGATGGCTGCAAGATGACTTTTTAGCTTATCCACTTTGGAGAGTGTTGTACCTTTCATGATTTTTATTTTGGATAAGTAAGAATTTATATTGCTTAATAAAAAGGTGAATTCTGAAGTTTCGTGTTGATTTTCATGTTTCCCATAAATTCAGTTTTTATCACTTAGAATATTTGTCTTTGAGTCATAATGCTCTTCAGCATTGTATTGTTCACAAAACAAAGCTAGATCTGATGGGAATATGGTAGGCTCATGGTATAAACTACTAGTAGGCTCATGGTATAATCCTGGCTTTGAGTGACTGCCCTATTTCACTATTCCTGTGTGAAATTATTTTGTACAATAGTTTGGAGGAATCATTGTTTTTGTGTGTAATTTATTGGTGTGCACTTTCTACCAAACAGGTTGATGTCCGAAAATCCACCCCCTCTATGGTTGATCGGCTTCAAAGGCAGATAATCATAGCTGACTGTCAAGTTTACCTGGCTGTGCTTTCGTTTGTAAAACAAGAATTGTCAGGTATGCTGACACATTATTTTTAATGGCTTCAGCTTTTCAGTGGACACAATTGTTAATACTCTTGTTTTAGAACACCTCATATTTCAGTCTGAAAACATGTGGCTCCTCTTTGGGGCATGCTACTGATTTATTACTGGGGAAATTGCGATTATAAGTGCTTAATGTATGTTCAACAGAGTCGTTTTAGTCCCTAAGTCTGTGTTTCATCCTCTTGTCTCAAGATGATTCTGTCATACTTAGAGAAATTACCCTTGTCTTTTATATGTATGTAGATATACAATACTTTTCCTTTATGGGAATCAAGTTGTGATAATAATCTTTAAATTGAAATATAGTTGATTGAAATTTAATGTTTTCAGGAAATCATTATTGAAGGCCTGAGCACCTTCAATGATTTCAATTATGTTAGGAAATCATGAAAGATTTCCTAATATACTTGAATGACGTGCATTTTTACAACCTTTAGTTAGGGATA